TGATGATGGTGATGATGGTGATAGTAGTGATGAAGATGATGATGATGGTAATGAGGATGGTATCATGATGATGGTGGTGCTGGTTATGACAATCGACGATGATGATGCTGATAATGATGAAATTAATGGTCATGATGATGATGATGATGGTAGTGATGAAGATGAGGATGATGGTATGATAATGATTATGATGGTGGTGGTGGTTATGACAATCAACGATGATGATGATGGTGTTAATGGTGATGAGAATGATGGTGGTGATGATAATTGTGATGATGACGATACACGATGATGGTGATAATTCTATCTATTCAGAATGCGATCGATGGAAGAGTCCGCCGAGTACGCGACAGCTGGGAAATGGTTAAACGATCCGGTATCTCAGGTTACCTAACAAGTAAATCACACGAGCTCCCTCCAGGTCTTGATGCGGCAGTAAACGACATGATCAGGAGCCTAAAGTCTTTGTTTAGCGTGCTGTATTTGAGTGGGCCCAACAATGATGTCAACCAGGGCTTCCTGGACGCCGTTCGTGACATTCAGGAGAATATTAAAGACAAATTGAATGACTATGAAGATTATCTGCTGGTCAAAGGAGAGAGAAACGTAACTATGACTGCATATCCTTTCATATGACAATTTAGATTAATTTACCATTCTGAGGATGAACGAAGAACCAGACATGTTTTACATCCCATTTGACGAGAACCCCGAGAACTTGAATTAAAATTTTGAAGTTGATTTTTACAGAGGGAAGAAATCCTGCCTAATATGGGGTAAAGTGAGATTGGGGAAATCCTCCCTAACGGGGGTAGGGTGGGGTTGGAGAAATCCTCACTAGTGGTGGTGGGGTAGGGGAAATGTCGTCCATAAAGTAAACAGGTCAGAGTAATTTGTTATTTCCCTTGACTGTTCCCACTTACCTTGAAGACTATCCAGGGCTTGTTCACTTCATTTACATTGATCGTTCGGGCAACCAGCTGACTGCACCTTCACTGAACACATCGTCCTCTGAAATGGTACAGAACACACGTGATCCGTGTCACGTGCTCAAGCAGAAGATCTGGGACGCGTGGAACCTCGTGCACGTGTTTCTATTGCAAGGTTTGTAAAGGGGGGAAGCAGACGGTAATGATCGAGGTGATGTTGATGATGATGGTGATCACGTTGATTACGATGTGCTATCGACACTCATTTTTGTCATTAGAACGACCTGTGGTCACTTGCAACAAATTATGATGGGTGTGGTGCCAATGATGGCCGTAAGTGTTAGGGGTATGATGACGATGACAATGACAGTGGTGATGACGGTGATTGTGATGATGATATATAGCGATGTTGATGATGATGTTGATGGCCTGCCCCCCCCCCCCCCCCCACATTGGTTCTCGGTCATAGTTTTACTGCGCATGCGTCTGCAATCAAACAAAACAGCGATCACTATCACATAGCGTCAATATAATATTTCAGTGCCCCCCCAAAGATTTTCATCTTCCGCTGCCCCTATAACAATGCCTCAGTGATGGTAACGATGGTGGTGGTGGTAATGATAACGATGTTGATGGTTTCTTTGACGACGCCGTTGACGATAATGCAGTTGGTGAAAATGATGAATGATTTCAATAACATATGGTAACAATTTTTCTTCATCGAATCAAGCGATTGAAGTAAGGTGTTCTAAACTTCTTCAAATTATAGACACTTGTTCTTTGCTTTATTACATGTCAGGAAACACATTCGTCGCTTTTCGGGACGGAGACTTCCTATTCACATACTGTCTTTGGTTTGAAGACTCATCCGGGAACCCTGCAATTATACAGAACTCGTTACCAGTCTTTTCTGGGTCATCACCACCAGGGATATTGTCAGGGGACGGGAGCTTCTTCAGGTAAGCGTAAACGTATTTGCGAGGAAATTACTCGTGAGACAGTTCCAATGCTATACCCTTGTCAAGGCGTTTTGTAGTTAATAAGTCGAACACGTGGAGGAATTTAGCTTGACCTGTGCGTGTCAAATGAGCTATAAGCCGACGTAATATTGGTATGATACTTGGTAATAATGATCATTGTATGCAGGGATCGCGGAGCCGGGGGGTGGGGGGCTGCAGCACATATAAATAAACGTTTACTATATTTTTATAGCTATTTTTCTTTTTTCAATATGCTTAATTTTCAAATGCCCCCCCCCCCCCCCCCCCCACTTTTCAATATGCTCTGCTGTCCCTGGTATGGTGTTGATGCCATGTCACACGACCAACGAGGACGACGACGATGATGATGATAATGATAATGATGTCGATGATGACAATAATGATACATGAAGGTGATAATCACCAACCTTTATTTGTATACATTGAAATACGAGGCTTTTCTTTCTGCCTTTCCTTTTGAGGAATCTCATTCGTCAGTGTTTTCCCGCTGCTCAAGAAGGTTCCATCAGATGTTACGAACTGTTGTGTATGCATGTTGGTCTAGTACCTATACGACTTGCTGCAAGACACATTCGCAAACTAGAAACGGCTTTATTCGAAACATCCCTTGGAGCGCACTACCCGATCAGTCTGATACAATGAAGAATGTACACTTAGGACTGACTGAAGTCAATGAACATTTTGTAAATACGAAGAGGAGCTAAGGTAAAACACTTTAATGAGGAACAATTATATATTTCTGTAAATATGTTTTGGCGAGGAGCAGAATGGAAAATGTCGTGGAAATGCAGAAAACCTTGGACAGCGACGTCTCTTGAAAATGGCTTCAATGACGTTCCCTTCAAGAGAAGGCATGAATCTAGAGTTGCTACGTATTTCGTAAGCTTTGATAATGTACGCTGCTAATGCGTAGCTCTCACATGGTCAGTGGTTTCGATTCCCAGACCAGTTTTTCTTATATGTGAGTACAGTTGCTTGTTGGTTCTCTCCTGTACATGGAGGATTTTGTTACGGGTTTTTCAGTTTTCTTCGTAACTATAGTCTAGTGCTTTAGCCATGAGGTTCTAGCTCGCGAGACTGCGCATTATACCGCCTTGCGTGATTGACATAAAATAATTTTCATCGCATTACATTTACTCATAGACTGCCGATTCCATAAGTCGTACTTTAATTTACCCAATGAAAGAGCCCTGAAATCTCTTTCGAAAACTTGCGGTTGCGAATACGTTGCGAACTCGAGAAAAATGTATTGAATATTTAATAGAGGTTTTGCACCATCACGTGCCCAAGCCCACAACACAGCTTGGGCTGCCTGTGGTTTGATGACAGAACAATAAAATTCCTTTGTTCTCGAGAATTGAATTCTTTCTCATGTAAAATGATTGTAATGTTCCTTCTATCTAACATGGCTGCCTTCACGTGATGGTGCAACGCCTCTATAGAATGAACAACATAGTTGTTTCAAATCGCTACTAGATAACCCTATTTCTCCCAAGATTAAGGGTTTGAAGTTCAGTGATTGGATTAAAAAATTATTTACATTGTACATATATTTTAACTATCTACTTCAGTCTTCTAGTCCGCATCTTGTTATTATTTTAGATACAGTTTGTACATTACAAGATTACAAGGTTGTCGTTTTTTCTCGGAAAACAAAAATTAGCTAAAATTGTTTGTTATCGAGTCTACAAGGAACTACAAGTTGAGGAAATAATTTCAAACAATTTTTTATTGCTATATCAATTGACCGAATACTTAGACGAATTCAGTTCTTTTACAGTCGACAGCTATAATTTATTTTCAGTATCAAGTCATCAAAAGAATTTCTAGTTTTGAACGGCATAGAACTGAATATTACAAACTTTTTTTTATGATGTGAGTTTAAAATTTTTCATTTTACTAAATTTCGTTGAAGAGTTTTCTATAGAATGCTAAATGGTAGAAATTAAATTGTATCGTTTATTAGGTAATATTAAGCGACTTTTTCGTAGATAATTATATAATTATAGAGTGTTTTGATGAGCCATGCACGCCATTTTCAATGACGGTTGAGAATGGTCAGAAATAATCAGTCTAAAACCAGTAGAAAATCTCGTCGCTAAATGAATTAGGAGAAGCAGCAGGGATAATTAGCCAAATCTTGCACAAAGTCATTAGAACTGAGCAGGGGTTGCGTTCCTGTTGAGGCAAGATCTGGTTAATATCGACCTCGTTTATACGCCAAGCTATCATGAGTAATCAGCTCCATCTTCGTCGAATCGAAAAATCTTGTCGGTACATCTTCAGCGGTATTTATTTTCTTATTCCACAAGTTTAAGATGCTTTTAAGGAGTTTATTGCTTTGTTAGCTATGATGGTGATGTACATTAGAAGGCTCAGTTCAATGACCACGCGTCGGCCAGACCATACAGACACCTGGATTTACTGATTTCTTCCTCGTCTCTGATTGGCTAATGTTCACCGACCTCGTTCCAGCTGCCGCCTTCAAATGATGGCAAAATGGATTATAAAGTAAAGAGTTCTCCCGGTATTAAGTATTTATGAGAAGTAAAGCACTTTCTCTGAAGCGTTTGCTGACTTTTAAGATACATTCTTTTAGACAAAGAATATAATTTGATGATAAGATTGATTGAAGACGTAAGAAACATTGGATCAGGCTATCGAAGAATTGAGCAAATTCTGTCGATAAGTGTTGGCATTTATATGAATTGTATTGAGAAAAGGATACATGAATATCACCTGATTCTTGATTATACCTAAAAAACAATATTACACTGTTTTAATTTCACGTTATTTACTGCTTTAATCTAAATTAACAGCGCCCAAACGGCGTTCAAAAAGTTGCATGACTTGTCAAGGTACAAATTGTTTTTCCTCACTCGAAGTATTTGAGTTAGATTTTAAGTACAATAAAGAGACACTGACATAATGACACTGCTAACCTTAATCAATCCAAGACATAACAATTAAGATAGATGCGAAAATTAAATATGTCATTTGCCAATGATTAAGTACAAGGCGGGCTATGACTTCTAATAAGTACAGCCAACAGCAATAATAAGGCTTCACCGACTATATATCCTGCGACATTCCAACGCACAACGTGAAAAACTTCACTTCCCCTGTTTAGCTGCTTCACATCTGAAAAGTCTTGCAGAACTCTAGAATTCGAGGACTTGAAAGTATAAAGAAGTATTTTCTTGGCCATTCGTGTTCTTGAAGGTTTGTTGTGAACTGTTTTAATTTTTATTGCTGAAAGTTGATCACACCATTTAGTGAGATCTATCGTACACATGTTTAAGAACGTAACAGACTTGATTGCCAGTGACTTAGCCAAGAATATTCTAGTCAAATAGTAGATTCTATTTAAGAAATTCATTTTATTTTACAAATTATTTAACAACCTTTCACCAAAACAGCAGTGTTTTCTACATGGAAGGCTTGCATAACGGAGTATCGTGCAAGGAGGAAGGAAAGTCCGCTCGTTCGCCTCGTCGTTCTCCTCCTCCTCTTGTGTCCGTAGAAACAACGACTCGACGAGACTCGTTAGTCGGTTTACAAAGGCTTGTTTACAGCACCCAGGTTTTTTCAACGCAAATAGGAGATTCAGACAAAAGAGGTATTAAAGGTGCGACCGGGAATGATGAACTGTTGGACGTTTCGACTAACCAAGAGCAAGGTGAGTACTGACATTTCACCAGAATACTGTAAAAACCTTTTTTCGGTCTCACTTCTAACTTACTAGGCAACCTTGAAATCGATAACGTTTCTTTATAACTCATTTCCAAAGCATATCCTTTTTTAACTTAGTAGTTTTCCTGTCAGAGATACTTAAAATCTAATACTGTCTCATAAAACATTGCCTGCAGTGTACTACTTATCATTAACCAGGTTTCTCAAGCCCACATTTTCGCACTAAATAGGCTTGCCAAATCTGACCAAATTTAATCTTCTAAACAGAATATACATTTAAATTTTGCAATAATTCAATCATATAGGATTTCGTCTTTCTTGTCATTTATTGATTTTGTTTTATTTTTTATTGTAAAGCTTTCGTGAATAAGAATTATGGCGACAATAAGAGTCATCATCATTTGCTCTTCATTAACCATAGCGTGAATGATTCATGAACCCCTTGGAAGAAAAGTAATAATGGACACAGCACGGGTCTAGTATCATTACAGCTCTACAAATAAGAAAATAAAACGCCTTTACAAACAGAATACTATAATATTCGCGTATTACATTAGCGTCGCGTGCCCGGGGTCAATTATACATCAAAATGAAAAAGTTGCCTTCCCTTTCAATTCTCCATTTGGTGAAGGTACGGTTTTGCTTGTTTGAAACTGGCTGTCTCTCCTTTGATTGGAGAGACTTTCTCCGCTTTTTACTCCATCCGAGAAAATTCTAAATCAATCTGTGAGTTAGCCCTGCCCTGACTTAGATCAGCCCAGCAGAGGTTGTTTCAGGGTTTAACCTGTGAGTTAGCCCTGCCCAACCTCGTACTCACAGCCTGCGTTTCTTCTGGCCTGCGGCGAAGAACGAGGGCTCTGGCATAATCCATTTTTTGGCGCATGCGCAATTTTACGGAAGTGAAATATAATCAATGAAAGTCATGCTTTCAAACAGAGTTCTGTGATTCCTTCCGATACAAATACAAATTAGAAATCGGGAACATTTTTTATTCATTTTTGCAAGTCTTAACGCATGCGCTCTTATACCGGGAGTCCTAGAAATCTTGGTCTCAGAAAATGGATTATGCCAGAGCCTTCATGCTTCGCCGCAGACCAGAAGAAACGCAGGCTCTGGGTGCAAGATTGGCCCTGCCCTGATTAAATCAGCCCAGCAGAGGTTGTTTTTAAGGGTTCGATAAAACTGACGTTTGGTTAAGTTTGACTCTAATTTTATCGCTGGTTTTCATAAATGTATCAAAAACTATACTAACCTTCTTTCTCTTTTTCATAGTTGAGGACATGACGTTACCCAATGAGCCTCAATCCGAATCCGTCCAATTGCATCGTCGTATACCTAGTCCCAGGCCCAAGCGCAGCCGTACTTCTTTCACGCCTGCGCAGTTAGAGCGGCTGGAGGACGAGTTTCGTGTTGACATGTATGTAGTTGGTCTGAAACGAATGAAACTAGCTAACGAACTTCATCTGAGTGAAAGACAGGTCAAAGTTTGGTTTCAGAACAGAAGGATGAAATACAAACGAGAAAGAGCCAAACTACGCCTTCCTATGGATTCCAAGTGATGCTTCTGTACATGTTCCTTTAAATCTTGAAACTAGTAGACTAAATGAAAGATTGACGCTTATACAAGAATAATATCGAAAAAGATGGTCATGAAGCTTTTGCATTAAATATCAAAAACAATGAAAATGTCACGAGACGAATACAAAAAAAAAACATTTCTTGAAGCGGCAGGAAGGGGTTCATTTGCAAATTCGCGATCTTAACTGAATTACAAACTAGGTGGTTTGGTGTAATCTTTCTTTCATTTTATTTCATTCCCTTGAGCATTATTCCCTTTTTTCTTACATATGTAACATAGTACAGAAGAACAATCCATATTTCGCCTTTTTCAACTTAAAAGGAAGACTGGTGACGACCTCGTGCTGTAAAGCATTGTGGAGCAAAGTTTAGATACGAGATGAAAAAGCTTCGCCATCGCCACCAGAATTTCTTTAAACTTAGAAAAAGCGAAGTGAAGAGTTTCAGCAGCTTTGTAATTATGTACAATAATCATGAGACTGTTAAACCTGAGTGGAACAAATTATTCAAGTCATGGTAATATTTATTTGTCAATAAAATGTTATACAGTTCTTATGCGTCTAGAGACTGGGCAATTTTAATACGATAAATTTTAGGACAATCAAGGAAAGACTAGACTTTTATTAAAAGTAAGAATAAATTAAAGGCATCCATCCAAGATGGCGGCTAGATGACGTCACGTGACTTTCACAAAACGTATCGAGAGCAATAAAAACGCCAATCAAAGTACGAAATGTTACTCAAAAAAATAATGAATCATGCAACAACCAGGTCACGTGGTCTATCTATTATTAATAGTAAAATCGTAAGATTGTGTAAAGCTAGATATCCGCTAAGTTCGCAAAATCTAAGTGTTCGAGAACACCTATCCTTCATAGGACTTTTTTTTTGCGTAAATTTTTCAGTAACAAGTTGTTGCGCAGTGTTTGGAAAGGTTTGACACCTTTCTAGGAGTTCCCTGTAATTCATCTTTTCGGCGTTAGCTTGGATTGTGTTACGGTCACCAAGAAGTTCGGACATCGTTCTCGGATTTCCATACAAATTCACTGAGTTTAAAAAGAAAATTTAGGTAGATTTCTTTAGTTAGCTCTCTCAACAGCAGTAAGAAAAGCTTCAATCAAGCTAGAAAAATGATCATTTACTTGTTTTTAGAGAACTAACTAAATATTAACCAAGTAAATAGTTCATTTAGAGTCAGTACATTTGTAAGGAAATTCGAGAACAATGTCCGAGCTTTTTGGTGACCGTAACACAATTTAAAACGATTTATACCCTGCGACGGCTAGCGCCGAAAAGGTAAATTCATCGCATTAGTCAGTCCCCACAAGGCAATTGATTTCGACTCTGTATTTCTAAAAACACGTTCCTTATCATTATCATTATCAATACTCTCTTTTCATTTATCGATACGAACGTCTTTCAATTTATATAGACAATAAAAATTGTGTGCCTTGAAGGCTATTTGTTTATATATTTTCTTCTCTACAGGAAATCGGTCCGCGGTCTGTACTGCAGGCTCATCAGCGATCCTTCCTGTAGCATAAAAAATACCATTCCTAAATTTAGACAGGGTCAAGTTCATTGGGATAAAACAATTATGTCCCATTGTTGATATCGTCGCTGCTGCTTTTGTTGTCGTTTCTAGTGCCTTCTTTTATTTTAAGTTTCCGTTGCCCGCAAAGTGCTGTTATTTCGCTTTTTATTATAACGTAATAGTAAAGAATGCAACCTCGCATTTGGTGCCTGTTGAGTGTTGTTTGTCTGTAAGGCGAGGGTACGTTTGTCTAGGCTGTCGGTAGGATGTCGGTTTGGTGTCGTTAGTCTCGTAGTATCAGAAGATTTCAGAAGAATGTCGGTAGGGTGTCGGCAGGTTGTCGGCAGGATGTCCTTAGAATATCGATAAAAAAGTGTCCACGGTAGATTGTCGGTAAGTTAACGGTGTACTGTAGGCCCCACACTTCACCGGATCGCATTGCTTACCATTACCCTATTGTACCATTATAAGTAATTCAATAGCTATTAGCAGCAAATTTATTTTGTTTCGTGTTTCAACAGATCACAGACTCTAAGAACGATAATGTGGTTTCATCCCTGACAGATACTTACTCTTACTCTCCATCTTGTCATATAAATAAATTCGAGTGTGTGGTCCTTTCCCATGATTTCTCCATTACACAGTACCTCAACCTGAAACCCAAAAACATGATATCAATATCTGGCTAAAATGAAAGGAAAACATCGTCTATCGAGCAAAATAATCGAAAATAATCCTTTTGAAAACTTGCCATTCAGATGGTAAGATTCCAAAGGATGGCGACACCGGTGATGACGTCAATGAAATCAAGCTATGACAGGTTTTTCCTGTTCATTTTCCTGTGCCACTTACCTGTTCAGCTGCCTTGAGGTTCAGTTTTAACTTGAGGTACTTCTTAACATGTGCTATTGTCATCTGCGACGAACAGCAGATGTAACGTCTTGCAAGTTGTTTTACGGGGACGTCGGAATTTGAATCACTGTGGGAGTTAATATTGAAAGGCTCACTATTTAACCAGTCACAGTGCCTGAAATCACGGCTCAGCCAATATAAATGCTGGGGCACGACAAGGTCACAATCATACCGATGAAATAGAAAACGCGTGCGCGTGCTGTGTGCTCTCATAAAGCACGCACTCCAAAACAATCAGAACGCGAGTTTTATAACAGTTATTTTATAAAAAACATTATAGAATATTTGGTATGAGTGTGAAAAAATTGCTCTGCGGAGGTGTTGTACTGTTACCGTGCTGTGTTCGAACGCTGTTAGTCAATGTGCAAGGGTTGGTGCCTTTCACACTAAACATGAATAAGATGAAAGCGAATGACCTTCATTCTATGGGGTGGGGTGGTGTTTATGGCTTTCTTATTCAAAGGGGGGAGGGGTAGGTTGTTTTTTGTAATCTTGATTAAAATTAAATCATATAATGGTCAGAAGTATTCCATTGTTTTGCCCTCCAAATTTATAAAAACCACTCGTTTGTTACTTGATTACAGACTCAATAATCATTTCAGCATCAAATGTTCACAAATAACAACAGTAAAGTAAAGAATAGACCGTTTTCTCAAGGATGCGTGTGCATCCAGCTTGATGAGCCACAAAACTGAAAAGCGCAAATCCATTAAAATTGAGAAGACAGTTTTTTAGTTAAAGAGGAGAATAATTGATCTTATGAATTCTTATCAAAAAAATTTTATAGCAAATTATGGTAATATTCATGTTCTGGTATCGTGGCCCGTCAAGTCCCTTAAATTTGGATGCRCACGCAACCTTGAGAAAATGGTCTATGCACAACTTCAACCATATGTCCTAAACACACTTTGAAATTCTAAGGACCTTCACTGGAATACATGAATATTTAACGCAGAAACAATTTTTAAGCTGTATTGAAAATTTCCCCAATAAAGTCAACAAATATCTTCTAACTATGGACAAACAATACATACCCACAGCATTCAAGAGAAACACAGATTTGTGGCTCATCACGATGATAATTGTTATAGTTTAATCTTGGTTGGTATCTTGTGTCTCCAGCAAATGATGTTCTTACTTGGGTATCATCTGGTTGAAGCAAAAAAACAAAAATGGTTCTCAATGGTAGGTGATTTTAGTTTCCTATCTGTTTCCTGCCTCTTTAGGGGGGGG